GGATCTGGGTTCTTTGCAGTGGGTGGGAAGCTGCTCCCAGCCCTCTGTGCAGGTCTGTGGCCTGGCTCACCCCATGGCAGGGAGGAAGGAGGCATTCACCCTGGCGGGCGTTCCCCTCCTGAGAGCCTGGGACTCCAGGCCTCAGCCTCTGCCCCTCACCCACAGCTCCCAGCCAGCAGAGACACCCCCACCCTGGCACAGCAACTTGTCCCCATGGTGCCCCCCCTGGATCATGGGAACAGCCAGAGGGGATCAGAGCCAGAGTCCACCCAGTGCCCCGCCCTGCCAGGGGGGCGTCAGAACCCCCCGGGATGGGATCCACGCCCCAGGGACCCCCTTGTACCCATCACAGTTAGAGGCCCCCCGTGAGCCCTGCAGCGGTGGTGCGGTGTTCGCGGGGACTGTATCCTGGTAGCTGCTTCTGCTGCCAGCCCTCGGCCGCAGGAAACGCAGACAAGGGCATTAACTGCACCCTGAAGCCTGGCCCACGAGAAGACACTCGGGCAGCTCCAGCTTGGGCACAAACCACGTGACCAAGAGGACACGGGAGGATGTGGTGAGCTCTCGGCCCCGGCGCATGCAAGGTCACAGCTGCCTCTGGATACAGATAGAAAACCTCATAGGAAACCCAAGTTACAACATCAACTGGTCTTACCCGACCAATAGAAAAGACAAAGGGGGGGGAGTGTGTGTGTGTGTGTGCGTGTGTGGATCAGGGGCCCAGTGGGGAATCAGTCGCACAAGAGGGTGGTTTTATTGGCCACAGATGAAAAGGGCCATCGGACATTACGTCAGTGGAGTCTGTACCCGTGTCAAGCAAAAGAAACCTCGGCAGTTCCCAGAGCTCCACTCACAAAACAGACACAAGGGAGGGTCTGGGTACATTAGTCAGGGTATCGCGTCACCAGGTTTCTCCAAGTCAGACAAGAGCTTCAGTGACGTTGGCTTCCCCAAAACGCTCCATCATGACCAAGAGGCAGAGTTTGAATAGAATTTATGCAGAAGGTTGTGGCTCTACGATCACATTGAAACCTCCAGCACAGCCCCACGCCGCCCCCAGGCCTGCTGAGCTGAACTCTACTGAGCTGAACTGTACTCTACTGGCCAGAAGAAACTCGCCATAAGGTCTATGCCTATAACTGGACACAGAAGGAGGCTACGAGGTTCTCACCCTTCCTTGCCCGCTGGTATCGCATTTGACCTGCCTATGAATTCTGACTCTGCAATGGGGACCTCGAAGGTTACACTGAGAGATGGAAACAGCAGGTGAAACAAGCCGATGAGATGGAATCAAAATGTTCTCAAATCTGCTGCTCGTGGAATGAATTGTTATGGGCCGAAAGTCCCAGAGCTGCCCTCTTGCCCGCTGACCGAACACTTGCCTGGAACCTTTCAGCGGCCACATCTACACGACCTACTGCGGCCAATGCAAGATACGTCGGCGCACAGCTGCCTACATTTGTATATGGCTCCGGCGTACCCGTGCCAGCACCGTGCGTACTCACCAGGAGTGTCTGTGTCAGTGTAACGTGCGGTGCATCATAGGCAGCCATTGCAGGGTGCCACATGCCACCACCCAGTGCAATGGGACAGTAATGACTCACCTAAGGCTCTCTGGGAGCTACGCTCAAGTTCCCAGCATGCAACTTTCTCCATCCCATAATGCAATCTATTTCCCATCGTTTTTAAAAAATCCCACCAGCCCACGGGGTGCTTTTCGGTCCCTGCCAGCTGCGACAGAAGCATGGAGCCTGCAGAGCTCTGCACTTTTCCCAGGAACGTTGCAAACACAGGCCGCACGACTCTCCTGGATTTGCAGACTCTCGGATTTCTTCAAGGGCTGTTTGATGACAGAGACAGCGAAAACAATTCGAGCTTGGTGGTGTTCCCAGAGCAGCTGCAGAGGGTGTGGCTCAAGAAACAGGCACTGACTGCTGGGATCACATCGCAGTGCAGACGTGGGATGAGGAGCGGTGGCTGTGAAAGGCCCCAGTCCCGGAGCTGTGTGCCGCGCTCGCCCCAGCGCAGGGACAGCAGAAGGAGCTGCATTGGCAATGCAGCAGGGATTGCCCCGTGGGAGCCTGCGACCCCGGCTAGCTCCCAGCTCAATGTGGAGCTGGAAAATCCACCGCGGGGGCCGTTGTCATGTGAGCGTGCAGGGCCATTGTCTCCTGCCCCACTGCTGTGACCCCCAGCAACGCACAGAGCAAAGTGCAGAGATTGGCAGCACTGGGGGGACAGACGGCACCCACAGCCCTGTTTTGTACCAGCCTGTCTCGCCCCAGAGCGCACCCCGCAAACGGGAATGGCACTGCACACGGGCACTATTGTCCACAGGCCTGAGGGGCACAAAGGCACAGCTCCAGCTGGCGTCCCGAAGCTGCCTGGGCCCATACGCCCCCGGCTGTTGTGACGTTTGGGGCTCAATCCAGGCCAGGGAGGGGCTGTCACTGCCTGCCCTGCCGCTCTGGGGCCTTCAGTGCTACGCTGCTGTGTTCACAGCTGGCTCCCAACAGCCACACACAAGCCTGCAGGTCACCCCAGCTTCCAGTGCCCAGTTACTGTTTGCAGGGACACTACCACCTCCTAACCCCCAATCTCCCCACAACGCTCTCCCTGCGGTGGCCAGTAACCCTCCAAAACGTTTTCTTTGCTATGTAAAACCAGACAAAATCCCTCTCTCCTGCTGGGGCAGCTGCCGTGCTGTCTTCTCCCCTCCTTGGTTTACCTTACATGTAAACGTACCTCCCTTGTCTCTGCCGGACGGCCAGGCTGCTCAGACATTCTTTTGTCCTGGGCAGACCGGGCTGGTGCATGGCTTGCCAAAGACACGCCTATAACCCTTTGCACACACCCCGCACACATCACATATACTGGGATCTGACATGCCAATCTCAGAACCCAACTGTGTTAGGTGCAGCGAGTATGTTGTGCCCGATGAGCTGCTGACACAGAGCAGTGAACCCCCCGTCACTCTTGCTTGCCACAATGGTGCCAGCTGAATTGACTGCAGAGTGGCATGGGCACGTGTCCTGCCGGAGAGGAAGAATGAGGCAGCCAGCCCTAGACACCTGCGCTCCTTTGCTTCCACGCTGATCCCGCTCAGACCCCTTTGCCTCCAGCCCCCGTGCAACGTGCCCCTGGATGCCCACATCGCTATGGCTGGTCCATGGCTGCGCTCGCTCAGCCTCTACTCCCCACAGGGCCTGGAGAGCAACACTTCCTGTCTGCTCCAGGCAGGCGCATCCGTGCATGGAGCCGGCGTGGTCAGGTGCACTCATGGGGGAGCTGCTGGGGGTGCTCTCAAGGCGGGCAACCAGGAAAAGACAGATGAAAAACACAGGTTTTAAATGTGGGGGGGAGGGGGGCTTCTGGTCTCTGACCCTTGGGTAGCGGAGTGCAAAACTGTACCCAGAGCGGTCACTGTCGCAGCGAATGGGGCATTATGGGATAGCTGCAGGAGGACTGTTAGTGTCGACGACCTAGGTCATTCAGGGTCTGGGCTCGCCCTGTGAGGACAGGCAATCGGGCAGCCTACGGAGGCTGGAAGAGGAGGGGGCACGGTTCTCCACCGCTATCCTGCACTCCCTGTGACAGCTCGCCTTGCACAGACCACGTGGGGAACACGGCACGGCCGCACAAGGGATGCAAATGAGGACAGGAATGGGAAGTCCGGTGCGCCGGGCAGCGGGAGTGAAGGGGAACGGCATGATGGGATGGTGCCAGACGCTGCCCGCACCAGAGACTGAATCCAGAGACAGAAACAGTTGACCCAGATGTGGGTACTGAGGGCTGATGAGCCATTCGCACCAGGCACTGGCAGGCACAAGTGCCAAGAGGAGAGCACGGCATCTGACAGCAGCCGGGCACAAGAGGACAGATCACTAGCACCGCCCGCTGACGTGTGAGGCTGCCTGCTAGAGACTGACATGTGCCCAGCTGGGCACGACCTCCTCAGTGTCTAAACCCAGGTCCTGGACTGGGGGATGCACCGTGGGGCTAGCCCCGGTCTATGGCAGAGTGACGCACTATTGGCTGATGCCGCGATACTCTGGCTAGGGTGTCGTATGCCGTAGCCGCATGCCCAGCGACTCGCTGTCACGTGTTCTAGCCCGCATTGGCTGAGACCGGCAGGGCTGAGCCCCTGGGGTAACAGAGACACCGGGCCGAGGCGACGTTTCCAGGGGGTGCCGCACTCAGGAGGGCCCGTCCGGGTTAGGGTTCCTGCGCCCGTCCCTGCAAGGACTGGGGGGGGCTGGCTGTGGCTGCAGCAGAGGTGGGCGTGCGCTGACAGGGCCGGGCAGCTTGTCGGCTCCATACACCCTACCACAACCCCAGTTTGGAAACTGCCCCGGCCTGGCCCTGCGCAGACCTCGCCCCCCCAGCGGGCAAACAGCCCTCCACAGCAAGGCGGAGAGCGAAGGCACCAACTGAACCAAACCCCCCAACCCGCGAGCCTCCTGGTGCATCCTCCACCCGGGGCCAGAACACACCGCAGCCATGTGGGGGGGAGGGATAGCTCAGTGGTTTGAGCATTGGCCTGCTAAACCCAGGGTTGTGAGTTCAATCCTTCAGGGGGCCACTTAGGGATCTGGGGCAAAAATCTGTCTGGGGATTGGTCCTGCTTTGAGCAGGGGGTTGGACTAGATACCTCCTGAGGTCCCTTCCAACCCTGGTATTCTATGATTCATGTGGCTTCCCGCCCTGGCGAGGCGCCCAGACACTGCAGGACCAGAGCCTGGACAGGCAGCCGCAGCCCCACACCCCGTGCATCACACGGTCCCCCCCCATTCTTCCCCGGCCTGGGCATCACACGCTACCTCCTCCCCTCCCCCCACTCCTCTGCCCTGGGCATCGTGTGCTCCCCTCCCCCAGCGCAGCCTCTTCCTGCGGGGCGGGAGGCCGACCCCCCTGCCCAGTGTGAGCCCCAGACAGCCAGGGGACGGGCACCGGGACAGACGGGGCGAGCAGTCACATGGGGTCTCTCACAGCGCTTTAATTGAGGAGTTGGTTTGCCCAGCGGGGCTGGCGCTGCTCCCGTCGCTCCAGCTGCAGCTCAGCCTGGGGGCCAGCCCATCTGACGCCCGCCCAGCACGTGCAAGTGCAGGTGGTAGACAGACTGAGACCCCCGCTTCCCGTCGTTGATCACTGAAAGGCAGAGAAACGGGGTGAGTGTGCCAGGCGGGGCGAGTGGGGCGGGGCCGGCCCATGCAGGCAGGGTGGGGCAAGTGGTCTGGGGCAAGTGGGGCAGGGCCATCCCCCTACAGGCGTGGCATGGTGAGAGGGCAGGGTTGGCCCCCTATGGGCCGGGCGAGTGGGGCGGGGCCAGCCCCCTGTGGGCAGGCCGGCCCCCTCCACCCAGAGCAGGGTGCTAGGGCAGCGGTGGGGGGTACAACACATGCTGAGGCCATGGGGGGGCGCATGCAGGGCCCCAGCCCATGGGCGCGATGACGCTCCAGGGCAGCAACGCAGGGAAGTGCTGGGGGGCACCAGTGGCTCTCACACGTCTGGGGCAGGGTCACAGCTGGGCTGGCAGCGGGCGATGCTGGCGAGCGCCAGGGAAACCCCTAGGGCAGGGCAGGCAGCCGGGCGCTCACCAGTGCAGGGGGTCCCAGCAACTCACCCACTCGGTAGCCATCCACCAGCCCCTCCACCTTCGCCGTCTGACTGGCCACCACCAGCAGGTGCCCCAGGAGCTGGGCGTGAGCAGAGGGGCAGGTTGAGGGAGGAAATGGGCACCCAGGGCAGCACCCCCAGAACCCCTCCCCGAGGACCTAGAGCGCCGCACCCCTGAACCTCCCCCAGAGCACCCACCTTCACACCCAGCCCCGGGGGACCCCAGGGCCTCACTGACAGCCAGGCAGGGGGCACCCCACCAAGGTCAGAGCCAGTCCGTACCACGGCTGGAGCCAATGCCCCCCTGCCCCGTGGTTCTGGTGCCAGCACCCTCTCCAGACAGCACATGGGGCTGTCCAGCCCCCTTCCTGTGCCCAGCCCCTCGACTCCCCATGACCCACACTGTTCCCTGGGCTGCGCTCTCCACACCACCCCAGCCGGGACAGAGGCACCTCGGGGAAGGGGTCCTGTCCAGTCGCTCTGCTCACCTCTGCGTCCCCCGCGGCCACGCGGCTCAGCCTGGGGATGGGGTGCTTGGGGATCACCAGGAAATGCACGGGGGCCTGCGGGGCCACATCCCGGAAGGCGAGGCACTGCGGGGAGAGCACTGTGAGCACTGCTGCCAGGGGCACCCACCGCCCACTGGGGGGCAAGCGCCAGCTCAGCCAGGGCTGGGATTGCAGGGTCACTGCCCACCCCCCACTGCCCCCTCCCCCGCGGGGACACTGCCCTCTCCCCCTGCAGGTCATAGCCCTCCCCCTCCTGGCAGCCTGTTCCCAGCAAAGGGGAGGGCCCAGTTGGAGTCCCCCTGCCCTAGCAAGGAGCCGAGCTGTGAAGGGGCCGGCGGGTGCTGCCCCAGGAGCAGGGCAGGGCTCAGAGCCCCCCGTGCATACAGAGAGACCTAGACAAATTAGAGGATTGGGCCAAAAGAAACCTGATGAGGTTCAACAAGGACAAGTGCAGAGTAATGGTCTCAAGTTGCAGTGGGGGAGGTCTAGGTTGGATATTAGGAAAAACTTTTTCACTAGGAGGGTGGTGAAGCACTGGAATGGGTTCCCTAGGGAGGTGGTGGAATCTCCTTCCTTAGAGGTTTTTAAGGCCCGGCTTGACAAAGCCCCGGCTGGGATGATTTAGTTGGGGATTGGTCCTGCTTTGAGCAGGGGGTTGGACTAGATACCTCCTGAGGTACCTGCCAACCCTGATATTCTATGATTCTATGGCAGAGACCTGGGCCTGCCCCTGCCTCACCCCAGGACCTGGCCTTCCCGGCCCAAGGGCTCCGAGGGAGCTGATCTCCCAGCCCCAGGCCACGGCATCCTCCCCTCAGCCCCACCTGCCACGCTGGGAGCCAAGCGGGCAAGGCCTCAGCAGGGCATGCCCAGGGCAGGGAGCAGCGTGGCCCCCAGCTCAGCGGGGGGCAGGCCCGGCTGCAGGGCAGCACAGGACGTTCCTGAATGAGGCGCAGGGGGTCACCTTGTCATCTTCATAGAGGATGTCGGCCCGGATGGTGCGGTCGATGATCTTGCTGAAGATGGTCGGGGGCCGCTGGCCTGGCTCCTCACTGGCCTCGGCTGCCCGCTGAGCCTTCTGCACCTCCCCGTCCTGCCCACCGGCAGCCACATAGCATCTCTGGGGCGGAGGGGCATCTGCTCAGGGGCCGGGGCACTGCCAGGTGTACCCCTGCCCCGCGCACCCCTGCCCCGGGAACAGCGCAGCCCCACAGACACAGCTGTGGAGGGCCCAGCCCCCCGCCTCCCACCCTGCTCGGGCCACCCCACGGCTAGCGAGACGGGGCTGAGGCCAGCAGCACAATCCCCAGGATCCGGGCTGGGGGCTGCTCCGCACTGAGCTGGGAGGGGGGTGGGAGCACGGCGGGGCCCTGCTCGGCGCGTGGCACGGAGCCGGAGGCACGTCCTGCCCAGGCCAAACCTAACGGGCCGCGGGAGAGCAAAGGGCCGTGCCACACTGGCGCTCGCCAGCTGCCCCAGGCAGGCCCGGAGGGGCGCGGAGCTGCAGGCGCTGCTGTGCCGGAGCTGGGGGAGTGGCGAGCAGCAGCCCCCCAGCGTGACACAGCCCAGGGGAGCGGGCACAGGCCAGGGCCATCGCTGGGGGCTCAGCCCTGCCCTCGGGTACCCCATCCCCGCGCAGACGCAGCCCGGTGGGGAAAGAGCTCCTGCACCCAGCGACCTGCTGCCCCTCGCAGGGGGGTCGCGGCGCGGCCGGAGAAC